CATACGATAAGGGGCCTTAGAAATGGGGCCGGCTCCGGGTATTAGGTCAATGGTGAACTCCACCTGGCGGTCTGGCGGTCCTCCCGGCAAGTCATCAGGAAAGACGTCGAGGTACTCGCAAACAATAGAGACTCGCTTGGGTACCCGCTCATCAACATCATCGGATACCATAGAAACAAGATAGCCTTGACAGCTACCCTTGGAAAGGCTCTTCCTAGCTTGCATAGAAGAGATGACCCGAGGCACAGTCCTCGAACTCACCCCAAGGAACACAAAAGGCTGATCGGAAATGGGATAGAGGGTGACTTCGCGCTCCTGGCACCGGATATCGGCTCGGTAATGGATGAGCCAGTCCATGCCCAAGATCACGTCGAAGTCTCGCATATCAATTACATAGACGTCGGCCTCCAGAACTCGACCACCAATACAGATAGGAAGATTGTGAACCCTTGAATCAGAGATAATAATTTTTCCCGAGGCCAAACTAACCTCGAGAGGATCACAAGCGTGCACAGTGCTAACAGACAAGGCCTCCAAGCAACGTGAAGAAATAAAGGAGTGGGTAGCACCAGTATCACATAAAGCAAAAACAGGCACATGGGATATCGAAAGCATTCCGGACATGGTACCTGTGTTGCGAGCGGCCTCATCATGGGTGATTGTATAGACACGGGCCTGACCCCCAGTCTTCTGCTGGAACAGTGGGGGCTGCTGCTGCTGATGAGGTGGCGGTGGGGGAAGCTGCTGCTGCTGCGGAGGAAACTGCTGCTACCTCTTGGGCTCACGACAAACATTGGCATAGTGTCCCAGGCGGTTGCAGTTAAAACAAGTGCGCTGGCTAGCTAGGTACTCACCGCTGTGGGATTTACCGCATTTCGGGCAGGCTTGGCCAGTGGAGGATTGATTGTCGCGCCTATCGAAATTCCCTTTTCTTTCCTTTCTTCTTGTTCTGGAAGTCGGACTTCTTCTTGCCCGAACTAGAGCCGGGCGGCACAGATGAGATGGGCCGAGCATGCTGGACAACGGTCTGAGTAGGCTGGGAAGCATGATAATAAGAAGGAACTGGAGCCAATGGAATGAGACAGCTCTCAACCTCCTGAGCCCTACTCACGGTATCTGCATAGGACATCAGTCCGTGACTTCCCACCAGTTCACGGATCCTCTGGTTGAGCCCCTTGAGAAACTTGCGGGCCTTTTTGGCATCGGTGTTCACTGCGTCGCCTGCAAAAAGGCACATTCGAGTGAAAGTGCGGATATACTCATCCACTGTGGAGCTGACCTGCTGCAAATGGTAGAACTCATGCTCCATCCTGTCCCAAAAGCTCTGGGGAAGGAACTTGTTGCGCACCATCATCTTCATTTTCTCCCAAGAGAGTGCATGGAGCTCCGCCTCTGGCCTCCGAGCCCAGTGGTCAATCCACCAGTCGGAAGCGTCCTCCTTAATCTGGTAAGCTGCAAGAGATACCCGCTGATGGTCAGGGAGGGGAAGTACAGTGAAGATCTTGTCCAGTTCTTTGATCCACTCTAGCACCGCTGTGGGGTTCTCAGTCCCTGCAAAGGCTGGTGCATTCATCCTCTGAAACTGAATGATAAGCAGAGTAAGGTCTATGGCCGGAGGGGCCAAGTGCTGACGAGGAGGAGAAGGTTGCGGAGATGGCTGACGATTACGGTTGTTGCGGGTATTCATGCTTCTACATTGAATAAGCCGAAATATAATCAATATTACAGAAATTTAGAGTTCGCCAATAAACACTAGAGTTCGACAAAATCAAGGTGGATAGATCCTAAGCCCCAAATCACAAGTTCATCACAAGTAGTTTCATTTCTACATGTGCATCATTTACATATTAAGTATTTTCATTAATACTTAAACAAAACATACCTTAAGCAGCGCGGAGTGACGGAGACGAGTGGTCATATTACAAGGTTTAAACACATAACCACATATGAACCAGTCTACAGAAACACAGACTGGCTCTGATACCAAACTGTGACACCCCACTTTGATTTTACAGAAATTCTGGACTTTCCAAAAATCAGTATAAAATTTTCGAGATCATTTTCAAAATCTAATGGGTGTTAAACAACATATTTCGTAACCCAAGTATTATCTGGGTCCACGGGGATTCATTACCCAGTTTTCACGAATAGTTTTCATTAACCAAAGCATAACGTGAGACATAATTCTCAAACATGAATATACTTAAACCATACCATCACACCCAACACCAGGGTTCCACATGTTTGCCAAAAACAAACAAGTCTTACGTTTCGGAAAAAGGTTTTAAATAAGTTTTCACATAAAGGTCCATAAAAGCCTTAATTATTCTACGGAAGAAATAAATGCATAACATGATGACCGACCCACTCGCCTCTCCTCGTCACCCTGCTCCTGCTTAACCTGCATCGGTGAAGAGCAGGTGGGGATGAGCACAAGATGAAAAGCGTGCTCACCACTATGCACATATATCACAAAATAAATAATGAAGAGAAGGTGTGGTTACAGTATGAACATAAAACAATTATTCTGTCACGTCTCCTAATCACATCACAACATAATACCCACGTGTACACATCTTTCATTAGCCAAGGAAAGGGGATTCATTACCCTAACTCATGGGGGTACGTGCCATACGACAAGGCATGGCCTTTCATTAGGTCTTATGGAGACTTACCGCCAAGGTAGCCGTATTACATCGACGGGGACAACCGTACCGACGGTCGAATCGGCTCACGTCGATAGGCTACATGGTTTACGTACATACTATAATCATACCAAATCAACATTATAAAAAACACATACGGCACAGAAAATTTTAGATTAAAACCCACCTGGTACAACAAAGGAAAATGGCACACAATCGGGAGTAGGCAGCGAGCACGGCTCGTCAAACACCTACAACAATTATATACTAATATCAACACCTACTTGACCTTAGAGAACAATCACAAGCATACATTGGTCGAACTTGATTCAACCAAGTAGTTCGTGAAGTTCCGTGGACATTGGAACATTCGGGCCTAACACTTAAACTTGACCAAAAATGCATATAAACACCAACATAGACTTAGCACGCAAAACAAAGTTAAACAGGTCAAAGGCACACACAAGGGTTCGGGAAAAACACACAGAAAACTTGGAACGGGCCCTGGGCTGCTTACTGGCCCGGGCAGGGCACGGCTGGGCGCAGTCGGGGCGCTGTGGGGTGCTG